TTTTTTATTATGTTTGTGGACCTAAATCAATTTTACGTTCGGATTTTGAGGATTCATTGCCGCCCTTTTTCCATGCCCGATAGGATATCATCTTCAATTTCCTGCTACGAACGTTTGAATTTATACTCCTTTTAATTCACACAAATCATTCCACTATGCACTCAGCGTACAAATGTTAGCTCTTCTTTTACAATTCCTACTACCCAATCCACACTTCTACCATTAATAAATACTATACCTAATTTAAATCACCTAACAATAAATACATTGCACATAAATAATTAAAATTAGCTTAATTGCTTTCAGTTTTCAATTTCCGCTTTTTTTTATTCTCATAAATTATCGGACAATAAGGGATTCGGTTCTTTTGCCAGCACACTAAATCCAACCACCCTTTCCAAATAGTTCAGTGGGAAACAGAAAGCGATCATTTAATTGCTCGATATGAAACATTATTAGTCGGCTTTGTTGCTGCCACCATAAATTGCGACGCCAAAAATTCTGCACGTTCGTGGAATCCCAATAACCTAATTAGCACTAAATCACTGGATCCGGATACGGGCATCACCTCAATAGTCCTTTCAGAATGGATGTTAAGTATTTGCAGTTACTCTTTTTGTGCTGCCAAAGTGCCACGGGAAGAAGATTTTATCGTTGAGACTTGAGACACAAAGTGGATGTGTAACTTAGTCCTGCACTATAAACATTTTTTTTTACCAGAGTGGAAAGATAGATAGCCTTATTTATTTTGCTTACAAAAAATAGAGAGAGAGTGAGGAAAGGGAGGCGCGCGCCAGACAAGCTCCAGGCAACTTCATACATATTTACAGATAACTTTTTTATATTCAGGTGATGAAAAGCCGCTAAAACTTTTGTTTATCCTGGATTTTTTTAAAACCTTTTTCATTTTCGCCCACCGCTAAGATTATACATTTCAGTACGTAAACAGAATGACATCTTCACTAACCCTTCTCCAAATGTCCAATGTTGGAATAACAAACGATGTATTTGAAACGGTTGTTTCTATATTATGATTAATATATCAAAATTAGTATAAAGGGATGGAAATACTGCATTCAATAACACTTTACATATAATTTTCTATATTATTATTACAACAATAGCTTTCAATCCGTGTTTTCTTTTCAAACATAAATTCCTAGGTTAATAATTGTACTTAATAAGTTATTTGGATAATATCGCTTATATATATATAGACTTAAGCAAGGTTAACGAATTAGTGAATTTAATAAAAATAAAATTCTTATAAAATGTATTCTAGACCATGTAGGTTTCAGTAAATTATATAAAATTTCAGCCTTTGAATCAAAAACATTCTAACAAAAGTCATCATAAATCATGGATACAAATAGTTCAAAGTAAATGTATCAAGAATGAATTGCAGTTATATTTGTTGAATAATAATTCATATTTATACGTGTGTACATTACAAAAATTCAATGGAATATCACCTACTAACTAATGTAGTTAATGTCTTCTAAACGTATATTAAAATTTTATTTGAATTTATTTTATTATATTAACGGTCATTTGGAAGTAAAACCTAACTATACAAATTATTTTAAATATCGATTATATTCAGTACAATTATAGAAAGAATTTACTATACTGTTATGGTTTATAATAAGTATAATGTAATAACTCTTCCATTTTTTTTCTTTAAATAATTTATTACAGTACACACGTATACTTTTACCCCAAATTATCAGTATACCACTGTAATAGGTTTATGTCACGCATTCGATAGAAAAACCGTTCCTTATGTAATCAAAAAGTAATCAATTATTATATGTACCATAATGTATATATTTGTGTTATTGGAATTACTAACCAATTAAGTCAAATATATTTTAGTCGTTTTCTCATGTTTTTATAATACTAAGCACTTTGGCAATTGTATAGAGAACTTGAGAATTTATTTTGTTGTGTATTTTTAGAAGATAATTGAATTATTAATTATTAATTTATTTTTTATTAAAATAAAATGATTAAGAACAATATATAATGTGCATAGAATGAAAGATCTGTAAGGAGGCAGCAAAAAAAAAGTGTTCGTAAGTTTAGTAAAATTCTTAAAATTATTTGCCGTTAATTGGAGGAGTAACCCAATTCTGCAAGTTCGCAGATATTCAGTTCCCCCGAGGACATTTCTCGAGCGCCATTCGTTTTTACAGTAAATTAAACCGAAAACGACTCGCAATTTTTACTAAGAACCCTCTTATCCCTCGGAACCTCCAAGAATTCCTCTGGTATGCGTATTTTCAGGCGAATAATTATATTTAATGGTCTTGCCGAAAATTCAATTGGCCGCAAAATTATAATTATTATCAAGCAACAGAGAGCGAAGGTCTCTTGAACAAAAAAAATATAATTAATACAATATGTATATAGAAGTGGTGGAGAAAAGGAAGCGCGATATGCAGAAAGTTTATTGATCAAAGCAATTACAGATTCCACGAATAGCTGTGAATAGTTTGACAAAGTTTCAAAATTTAATTGCTCCAATGGAAAATCGCTTCGGCAATTTCGATTTTGCAATAAATACCCACTCACTCTCTTACGTTTTTCGCTCTAATGTAGCTAGACTTTATATGTGGCCAATAAATAACATAATATTTTATGGCGGAAACATTAAAATTTATCGCTGCATTGGCGATTTGATATTTTGCTGCAACTATTGGAATTATATCACAAGCAAATCCTGGTAAACAGATAAACGGCTATGTGATAATTGCTGTTTGCACTAGCGCTTTCTACATGAATTAAACATCACTCAAATCGCAATGCAAATCCATTACATTTTACTATTTAATAAACACTATCGTGTTGATGACTACTTTATACAATGTGGGGGAGTACTGTTTAAGTATTTACGGATTTTTTGTTCTCTCTCTCTTTCTTAGGTTTCTTAAGTTTCATAAAAGTCTTCTCGTGTTTGCCGGATAAGTTTGTTGTTTATCGAAACTTTATGTTGATTTAGCAACTCTCTGGAAACATTTTTTTATCCATACATGTTAGTACTTTTGCGCTTGTCTATTTTCCGATATTGACTGATTGAAACAAAACAAATTTCAAAGATATTTTCACTTTATACATATAATATTAAATATTTGGCGCATATGGTTATATAGCCTTTTGCAGCAGTTGAATTTTATTTTATTTTTATTATATTGAGTTTGTTATTAATTTTATAATTTATTTTTACAATACGCCGACGAAATTGAGCAGTAACAAAAACGCGCACTAATTCTTATATGAAATGCACAATTAACTTATTTTAAATCAAGAAATGTATTTATTTATATGGTTACATAAATAAGTACATTAGATATTTTTTTTATCATTTAGTAACAACATTTGATAATATTTCATTGCAAAAGCGTTTCTAAATTTACATAAAAGTGGTTAGAAACTATATTAAACGTAATATCTATATGCTATTTTCAACTTTTATAAAGATTACGTACATAATTCTTTGAATAATATTATGCGATTTTAATACGTAACGCGATTTGCTTTAATAGAATTTAGATATACTCTATGTTAAGAACTAAGTTAATTTTCTTTCCACTTTATTTATGAGTGTTATAAAATGAATGATATGCTTATTTACTGATATATACAAAAAAAAAGTTAAAGAAAACATATTCCAAAAAGTGCATTGTTTAATGTTTTTAGGTCAAATGGATTGGACCTAAATTTGCTTATGATAATAATAAATATATCTAATAATTGGTTTTAGTTTCCATGACTTCCAGAATTACTTAAATACTTGAAGTATAATAATAATTAATTGGCCAAACATCAATACATAAGAAGAAGAAAAAAAAAGTACAATTTATACATAAATAAATTTTAACATACAATAAAAAAAAATATATACTAATAGGCTGGCCAAAGGGCTAAACTTCTTATTTTTTTCATTTAAATAGATAAATTTCGAACATTAAACTAATCAAATAGTATTTCAAGGTCCAATCGGAACCTAGTTTTCGCATCTATTCGCAGCGAATAGATTAAATGTAGGACGATGAGTCTATTTGTTTTGCATCCCCGGGGCACTTTAGCCATTATTCATCCAGCGAAGATACACTCATTAATTCCCCATGCATTAGTTTCGCCAATCAGCAAACAAAACACTTGTCCGCATCACTTTATTCTAATGCACTTATCGTCAGATTACAGCAAACACTCGGTCTAACAATTCCCCAATTAAATTTCTGTACGGAATGCGACATTTGCATGGTTTTATACCCGGCGCATCCACCGATGGCGCACAATATTTCGCCTGACTGACGGACGAACCGCCTCCTGTGTTGCGTAAATACATTATGACGTCTTTCCATCGCATGCCTGTGCAATGCTTCCAGAAGCATGTGATTTACAGTTTTAATAATAAATTCTCTACCCCTAAAAAAAAAACAAAATAAATAATAAATGTGCACCATTCATCAAGATTTCATGTACAATAAATTTTATTTTAATATTTATTTTTTTTGTAATTTTTTAACATTTCACATCTATTGGTATTCGAGGTTTCGCGTTGTTGTCAAAAATGTTTATTTATTAATAGTTCCACAAATAATAAACCGATGCATGCTACAAAAGTAATGAGCAATGTGTATGTTTCATGCGGAAGTTCTTGTAGTTTCCCAGAATTTGAAATTATTGTAAGTAGTTGCGTTCATGTATAATTCAGGCTTAAAATAGCTGCATGTATCATTGGTTATTGTAGCTCGAAATCGATGGTGGTTTTATGGGCGAAGTGGAAAGAATAACAAGTTTTCACATTCGAAGGAAACGAACTCGTAATGCACACACATGCACCGTATATTCCTGTCAACTCGCGTTGGCAATATATCATAACTATTGTCATCATCCCCATTGTTCAACCTTTCTTCATCAACAGTTTTAATCAACATAACATATATTTTTTTGGTTTGCATTTCGTCAATAATTTTCATTTCTTATTGTTCCAGGGGAGTACTGCTGCAGGGCAAACAGCAATTGAGTGAGGCCATATTCAGTTTCCAAAGGGCCATTCATTTTCGCCCTTCACTTGCGTGTAAGTCTTCTATTATTATTAATTATTTTAAATTCTTCTATTTGCAACTGGTATAAAAAAATAAGTTTGTTACTTATTTATAGCGACACAAGAGATTAATTTTCTTCTTAAAAAACAACTATAATAAGAAATAATAGTTATTTTGTTCGAAGCATGAAACTAACTGATTATTAGTATCACATTTTACCGAAATATGTCGTTTATATCTAGGTCGCTTATTGTGAATTTACTGTATTTCTCTTTAATAATTCAAGTATTGTATCCACCTTTCATATATTCTTTATGTGGGTCGTAAAATACCCATGGATTTTCGTATTGTGTTTGAATTTTTGTGGGATTTTGGGGTTATTTGAATGGAAGGGAAGTTGTTAAATTGCCGGAAGCGAAGCAAAGCACGCTTGTGAATATCCTAGACCGAAGGGGTGAATCTTTGAATAGTTTATTCCCAATAATCAAATCACGGAGGACGGTCAGCCGAAAACCCTCAAACACAATCATCCGCAATTAACCCAGTCTTGGAATTAATTAAATGCAACTGTAGAGAAAAACCGAGTTAGCCAGTAATGAAAATCTAAGCGATGAAAACTTAAAGCGGTTATAACCATAACAGTTTTTAGTATCTGCAAAAATCGAGTGCATAACCGGATTATAGATATAAATTGATGATTTGTTCTAATTTCTTTTAATTTATGTTATGTTAATAAAAGAAATGAATATGTACTGAAGTTTTCAGAATTGGTATATAACAGTTTTGGTGGGTGCAAAAATAGAATGAATTACCGGATAATTTAAAATGTACTGAATTTTTCAGATTACGTTACATAAAATTATGCACCTCCGGGCTGGTTATAACTAGTACCAATTCATAAAATGCATTGAATAAATTCGGTTTCAATGAAATTTTCTGCATGAAAATGTAGCCTTTGGAACATACTGAAGAAAAGAAATATAGAATTTATGTATGTCCCGTTTTTGTGCGAGGCTGTGGAAAGGAGAGCTAATTTTTTGCCTTTGTGCGGTTTCTTTTTGGGCAGCTAGAGAAGAAGTAGTGTTACAATTGATGCTGAAATTTCTTGAATTCGAAATGTTCCACTTATGGCTGCAGGAAGCGAAAAGAAAATCGCCGTTGGCTTCGCGCGAGCACAAAAAGGATCTCGGCGAGCTTTTCGGTGGGGGAAAAAGAATTTTTTTTGCTCTCCTTATTTTATTCCGCTTGATTCATAGTATGCAATTTATACGGTGGCAAAGAAAAGAATATAATTTATAGATTGTCCCGGGATTGATGGCGCAACAATATTTTTCCACCCTTTTTCCAATAGATTTACTGTCCTCGACAAAAGGGAACAGAAATATATTTATTCCTATATTGCAGATTAGTTTCTTCTTATTTTTTTATCACGTCCTTAAGCGCCTTTTCACGTGCTAATAAGGGAGGAAGTAATAATGGGAATTGTATTTAGTTAATTACGTACAGAGCAATGACTGGACGAGGGGTTGGATGTTCTATATTTCTCCTTTTTGTTCACGTCTTTCTTTTCCTCCGCCTAAAACCATTCGCTGTAATTAGAAGGCAAAACTTGAATACTAAAACGCAAGGAACCGGAATGGGCTTTGCATGCATTCGCACCAGACAAAACTCTCGCGTTTCTTTTATTGCGTTCCAAGCTTGGAATTCCTGCTGCTCGTGGATGTATTTTTCGGTGGCCATCGAAGCCATTAACTCTTGCGGTGTATTTTAGCTCCCCAAGAGGATATACACTATTTTATCTATAGCGAGAAATAAGGCCAATGCAAATGCAACGTACGCATATTAACATAAAATTCCCCTTTTAAACTTTCCCATTTTCTTTTCGCACAAAAAAAAAGAACTGAGGCCGCGGATGAACAAAAATAAAGAGGGTGAACCAAAAAAAAGAGAAGCGCATCACAATTTAAATACAGCGCGAAATATGTAGCAAGATAAAACTGGATGTTGGAAAAATCCTGAAGGAATATTTTTCAGAGAGCTTTTCCATGTCGAATACGTGTATTGGGGCCCTCCTAGAACTTTCACCCTAATATGGATAGCTGTACCAGACCTTTTAAATATTCTGTTTTCTAATTTGTAACATAATAATGTAATTTAAAAAAATAATTAAACTGTGATTTAAAAAAAAATCAATCAATAATTATAAAAATGTATTTAGTATAGATATAATTATAATAATACAATAAATTATTATTATACATCAAAACAGGAATAGAAATTATATTAAAATTCGTATACAATGAGTATTGAATTATTAAATTGAAAATACGCACTTAAATAATTTGTCAATATTTGAAATATTAATAACAATATTTATTATAAAAGTTATACATAAACAAATACAAAAATATTACACATTTATTTAATAATAATATTATTTTATAGGTATATTATTGATGCATAGAAATTTATATAAAAAAATGGTTGAGTAGAAATATATGTAGTAGTATTATAAGCAGACACCAATTTAATGAATTGCATAAATCAACATTACGTAGAAACAATTAAAGGCGTTGAGTGTTTCGATCAACATTGCCTATGGATGCGCTGCGGAATCTACAATTTCTGTTATAGTTGTTATTTTACGAGACTGTGTTTATTGCTTTATTGAAAATGAATGCACACATGCTGTTTGTTTTACATATTTGAGTTTACTAATAAATTATCATTGAGTTAAATTTTAGCCATGTTCACTTGTTTATTCAGATCTTTATTTTATTGTTCCAATATTATCAAGCTTATTGACAGCTCATTAACCTTATTAATATATCTACATTATTCAATTAGTAGTTACATATATATCAGCACGGTGGCAATCACAAGCCCGACAACCGAAATTCCGACTATATCAAAATCCCGACTATATCGAAAATATCTACTATAACATTTTTATTATGAATAATTCAACAAAATCAAATAAATTAATAATAATTTATTGTTATTACGCTCCGAAATAATTTAAAAATGTTATTGTAAAAATTTTCGATATAGTCGGGGTTTTGATACATTCGGGTTTTTGATATAGTCGGGATTATGTTTGTTGGGATTATGGTTGTCGAGATTCTGATACAGTCGGGATTATGGTTGTCGAGATTTTGATATAATCGGGATTTCGAACGTCGGGATTTCAATAGACGGTCTTTCGGTTGTCGGGCTTGCGATATAGACCCATAGCAGCATTATTTCGCATAGTGCGGCTTTAATCAGTCCAAGTTTTACTAGTTTAAAAATTGAAACATAAACTAAATTAAAAAAATAAGTCTTTTTGTGCGATTTTTCAGATATTTGGTTTTTTTTCTCAAAAAAACGAGAAATATAAATTTTGAAAATTCTGGGAAATCAAGGGAATTTGATGTAATTGGAAATACTACACAATATTTAATAATTTTTGATAATACTCGCGCCCTGAAATATCTATATACTACTCGCGCGGTGTATTTTAAGAAAAGAACTTTTTCATGTTAACTAATGCTTTTTTATTAGATTCATAACTATTTGTAATACATCAGCATCGTCTGCTATTACACCAACAACTTCTTTGTGTCGCAATCAAAACAATATTACACCGGCGTTTAGTAAACACTTTAGGCATATGTTACGTTATGTGTCATAGATGGGGGATAGATAATATAGTTGTGGTATCATTTCTTAGAACACCAATACTTTTTACACCGGCGCGAGTAGTTAAAGTTTAAGAATTATATAAGATTTCATGTTAATAATTTGATGCTGATGCCAAATTTTGGTGATGATATATGAAATTTTACAAATAGTAATGTTTTATAATAACGTAGTTATTAAAGTAGTAGTGAATAATATTTGTGATTTAAATACATTGATTTAAATAAACGTGGTTATAACAAAAAAAACTGGAGCATTTCGAACCATAATTAATAAACTTTTGAAACTTAAATCATTTAGCTCGCAACTGCACACACCGAAATTGATTACTAAATTGCGGAATTCCATTGTGAGCGTGTAATCCGTGCAATGTTTTCGGCAGAAGAAATGTTGATTAATTAATTTAAGCTCCGTGCTTTATTACCATAATTACATTTGAACAAATCTGCATGCGTTAATAGAAAATGATATCCCATTTATGCACCATTAGTACGATATGTATATGTGAATTTATTTCGAACACACACACACTCAATGGAACACACGCAATTCTAGAACACAATAATTCCAAATGCAGTGAAACAATTGTGCAGAGCGCGAATTTGCCAACGTGTTTACCTACCGACGGACGAAACGGAAACTTTTTAACGCAATTTCCCAGGAGCAATTTTGCAACAAACTGGCTCCGCGTTTTTCCTTTTTCTATTTGACTTTCGGCGTGTTGCAACGAAAGCCAAAAGGGCGAGATATTAAAATAATTGTAAAACAAACAACGGACACAGCAAAAAAAATACAACAATAACAGGAGAGACAAGCCATGAGCAAAATAAATTAATTGTGTAAAAAAAAATATATAAAATAATATCGTGTGAATGGATCTATAAAAAAAAGAACACGCCACATAACATCAAACGGCACATGCAATTGTTCATGTGTTTTTTTTTGCAGGACTAAATTAGATATCATTAAAATTAAATTAAACTAAATATAAACATACATTTATTTACGTATTTCCTTGTTTAAGGACCTTGAATTCTAACATATTTATTATTGAGCCTGAAAAAGTATAGGTCAATATCCCTTTGAAATAGTTCAGTTTTAATCTTCTTGAAAATCTATGAAGTATCTGCATTATAACTTCAATAGAAAATTTATCAATAGATTTCAAGAAATATCAAAACATGAATTTTCTATTCAGCAAAATAAAAATAAATCCGATAAAATGATCGTTTCTTTCTGTGTTTTATAATCGCGATTTAGTGATATTTTATTTACTTCCTCGATTAGTCCGGTTTTAAACAGTCTGGGATATTGGCATTACCCGGACTAAGCGAGGTATTTCTATATTTAA